TTGAGTTTTCGATATTTATAAACCCACAAATTTTCTTGCAAAAAATTTTAAAAAAGTTTAATTTTGTAAAATTAGCTATATAATTTTGTCATCATATAACTATTTTTTGATCGATCATTCATGGACTAATTATGAAATATATTTTCGCTTGAAGTGTATCCAACCCTCATTGATAGTATTGAACAAATACCCAGAAAAAACTTACATTGAAAAATAATTAATTAAAAAGCTAATAAAACCACTTTTCACTACTTCTTCATTTTATGTCATTATTTTAACACGGTGATGTCATTGGAGGCAAGTACTTCTACGGTCGCTTACAAATAGGGAGTTAAAGAAGTACTTTCAATTTCTCTTACAAAACAGTTGTTGAGTAAGTGGTTTTGTTTTTTAATAAAAATAATAAAAAGAGCCAGCTAGAATACGAACCAGGGACTTCGGTTTGTTAGTCAAATGTTCTACTCACTGCACCACTGCTTAGCTATTTTATTGCGCGTCAAATAATGGTTTTCACATACAAAACTAATTTTGTTTTCTTTTTTGTAAAATACAATTCTTAACACTCAATTAAATAAAATGTACAAACAAAATAACAAAGCCGAAAATAAAGTACTTCTATATCAGATTAGAAGAAAGTCATTACTAGAGTACTTCTAAGTAATGCATACGGTAAGTAGTAGTCATTGAAAAGTAAGTGATTGTGGAAGTACAACCCATTACCGAGTTTTAGCTGGGTATGTATCTTATAATCTTCATAAATATTATAGAAATGCTATTCAAAAAAAGAACTTTTTCACAAATCAAATAATTTTCGCAGAATTTTTTTCTTTTTTATCGACTTATTGGAAACGAATCGATTTTTTGTAAGAAGGGGAGAGGGCCAATTATATACCATACCAAACATTATAGTCGGGCGAGGCCGACCATATAATACCCTACACCTGTTACAAAAATGAAATGTGATTTAGTTTTTATAATAAAGCATTTAAGCTGAATTGTACCTTGCCTCAGATATACTTAAGCCATTTATTGTTGAATAAAATTGTGGTGTTTAAGTCAAATTTTGAAGGGGGCTAGATCAAGTGAGACCCTATAATTATAAAATTCATGAGATTCATCAAGGCTAGTATAGATCTTGATTGTGCAGCTTTTTGTCGAGATAAGAGTATCTTAAACATAATTATGAACTTAAAAGCCCTATTCGGCGGGTTCAGTTGTATGGGGCTAGGTGTACCGATGTTAACCATTTTCAATAGGCTTCGTCTCCGGTACAATAGAAGATCATCTCAAATTTCATTGAATTATCTTCAAAATTGCGTCCTGTAGTTTGATTACAAGGTTTACAAGCCCTATTCGGGGGTTCAGTTGTATGGGGGCTAGGTGAAATATTGGACCTATCTTAACCATTTTCAATATTGACCCTGGGACAATAGAATATTATGTACCAAATTTCATTGAATTGTCTTCAAAATTGAGACCTGTAGTTTGATTAAGGTGGGTATACGAGCAATATTATTGTGCGTTACAAACATCAGCACAAACCCAATATACCCTCCCCACTAAAGTGGTGTAGGGTATAATTACTTGTAACAGTAAAATTGCTGTATATTTTATACAAAATTCAATATTTTTTTATAAATTTTCTTCCTTTATCAATTACTTAATTATTTTCTATAATAAAGAAAATTTTTTTGATGATTTCAATAACAATACTTCAGAATCATTTTAAGAATTTGTTCTGATTTACCTACTTCTAGAATGTGTTAATAAATAAACACTTCAGATTCTTGAAAAGCAATCTTGGAAATCGCCTTTACTTCTACAACCAGATTTGAGGGAAATTGTTCGGTTTTTTAAGAATTTCTAATAAGTTCTTCAGCAATAGTTGTACCCCAATTCAATGGAACGTATGAATTCTGAAACTCGTTTAAAACTCTCAAAAACATAAATTAATTTCTTTATATAGAAAAGGATTTCATATGAAAAGAAATAATTTCAAATAGTGAGAAAGAACTTAATTAAAAACAATTTAGAGTGCAATATTCGACTGAACTTAAATACCCTCCACCAGCTACTTTTATATTAATATTTTCTAATTGATCAAATATTTTTAGAAATATGTAAGTTTTCTCATGCCTTAAATAGAAAAACCCCAAGATTTAAACTGATTAAATCTGTTACAATTGCAAGATTTATTGAACATTAGAAACGCCATTTTCTATTATATTTTTATAGCGCCCTAAGATATGTTTTAGCGGTATTTAATAATTTGTATATAATATTGTTCTACACAAATTGATCATGCAACTAGTTAAATACGGTTAAAGCGATTTTCGGGGCAGGATCTAGTATGGGAAAAATGACCAAATATAGACCGATCGTAAACATTTCTGTACATACAAGCTATATTTCAGTCAATTTTTGTATCTATATCGTAATTTAGTAATAAGTAATGTGTGTTTAACTGATTTTCGAAACGGAACCTTGTATGGGACCGATTGCACCCATATTACGAACCGATCGTGAAAAAATCTTGAAATATAATACTTGTGCCAAATTTTGTATCAATAGCTTTATTTGGTAATGAGTAATGTGCGTTTAAGAGATTTTTGTAAGACGACCCTGTATAGGAGCTATGACCAATTATGGTCCGATCGTAAAAAAACTCCACAGTAACATTAATGTATATAAAGACAAAATTTTGGCTAAATTCTGTATATATATCATTATTTGGTAATGAATATTGTTCATTTAAGTGATTTTCTGGAGGGGACCTTGTATGGGAGCTATGACCAAATATGGACGGATCGTGAAAAAATTGTATAGTGTCATTTATGTATATAAGAGCAATATTTGTGCTAAATGTATAGATATCAATATTTGGTAATGAATTATGTGCATTTAAATGCTTTTCGGTTGGGGACCTTGTATAGGATCTATGACCAATTATGGACCGATCGGAAAAAATCCAGAGTAATATTTCTGTATATAAGAGCAATACTTGTACCAAATTTTGATATGAATATCTTAATTTAGTAATGAGTTATTTGCGTTTAAGTGACTTTCTGCGGGGACCTTGTACGGGAGCTATGACCAATTATGGACCGATCGGAAAAAATTTCACAGTAACATTCTGTATATAAGAGCAATACTTGCACCAAATTTTGTATGGATATCTTAATTTAGAAATGAGTTATGTGCGTTTAAGTGATTTTTGGGACTGGACCTTGTATGGGAGCTATGAGCAAATATGGACCCATTGTGAAAAAAATTTTAAAATAAAATGTATACAAAGGTAATATGTGTGCCAAATTTTGAATGAATATCATTATTTTATAATGAGTTATGTACGTTTAAATGATTTTCTGAAGGGGACCTTATATATGAGATATGACCAATTATGGACCGCTCCGGAAATTTTTTTCTTTTGATGAATTCTACTGGCATAAAACTTTAATTTGTAAAATTTTGTGAAAATATCGACATTCAAACGGAAGTTATTAACAAAAAACTAATTTTCCGGGAATATGTACATTTGTATGGGAGGTATACGACATTGTGGACCGATTCCGCGAATTTTCAACAAGAATAAAGCACTTGTATAGAAACAAATGTGTGATGATTTTCATGGTGTTATATTGCACAGTTTTTGGGAAAATAACATGAAAGTATGTGAAAAAAGCATAATTTTTTCGGAGTTTTTTCAAATTTTGATTCATAACTTCTTCCGATGTGAAGAGATTTTGTTAATTTTCAATACCAAACCGAGTAGGACAATAATAGATATTTTGCGTGAATTTGGTTAATTTCTGTTGCTTCGTGTTAGCGTGAGAATGTTTTATACAGACAGGCAGAAGGACGAACAGACAGACATATGTAACTAGGTCATATTCATAATATATATACTTTGTTGGGTCTCAGATGAATATTTCTGGGTGTTACACAAGGAATGATCACCACTGATAGTGGTGGAGTGTATAATATACATAGATTTGAACTCAAAGAAGTGGAGAAGTATAACTTTGTTTTTTATACGAAGAAAAATAATGTAAAAAAACCACATAATTTTTTTTACTAATCCAGTTTCTTTTTATTCGATTAACCGAGTAATTTTGAATTATCCGATTAATAACCGGCTAACATAAAACCTCAGATAATTATTTGTCAAATGAACCGAATTAGTTAAAACCCCGAATAATTGAATACCCTATTATATACCATGTAGTGCAGCAAATATTTTTGCTTGTTAACATCTTCTTAGCCTATAATGTTAATGACAGTCTTTAATCTGTACACCCAACGCTTCCAACGCCTCAAAGGTGAACTGAACTCCAAAATATGTGTTATCTCTTTTACTTGTCGCCATCCTCGTCACTAATATAACACGTTTATTCTATTCAAGACGTGAAGTCTTTTATTAAAATTCAAACACGGATTTTTTAGTACTTTTTCCTTCTTTAAAGAGTACCTTTTATTTTTTTTTTATAATGTTGAACCTAGAAACAAAAAATTAAACATTAAGAGTCCTAAGTTAGTGAAAATCTGCAGTAAAAGATTTTTGGCACTATTTCGTTATATGACTGGTACTTTTTAGCTTTTATGCACACAGGTAGCACCCTGATTGTTTGGACATCTATATAATGAGAACTTCTGGTACTTTTTCGTTTACAACTGGTATTTTTTGATTTTTTTTTAATAAAACTAGCTGTTTTTTATAACATCATGGCGAAGGGTATATAAGATTCGACACAGCCGAATATACAATTGTTACTTGTTGTAAGCTCACCTGGTATACTTTGCAATTAATGTTATTTTTGTAAAATAAATAATTAGTCATGTTATTTTATAATAAAATAAACATATTCTATTAAATAGTATTAGAAAACAAGAGGGCAAAAAGTTCAATAGACACAATATCATAAAAGTTTAGCGATAATTAATTAATTATGTTTTACTTGTTTATGTGTTATGTATTAATAATATTATATAATTTATTTCAGGGTCAACGTTGCATCTCTTTTGATGATTGTGTTGATGAACAAAATGGAATATGCTACAGAAATTTTAAAATGTCTACTACTTCGTTTAGTAGACAAATCGGTTTGTAGTAAACATCCGCAATTGATGTTGCGTCGTACAGAAAGTGTCGTTGAAAAAATGTTAACCAATTATATGGCCATTTGTATGTATGATTATTTAAAGGAATATGCTGGGTCAAGCTTGTTTTTATTGTTTAAAGCCATTAAACATCAAATTGAAAAAGGCCTAGTTGATGCCATAACTCATGACGCTCGATATTCATTATCAGAGGAAAGACTTTTGCATGAACAAATACCCCATTCAGTTGTTATGCTACATATCGTACAAGATGACTTAGATGAAAAGGTACAATGCAAAGTTTTAGATTGGGATACGATATCGCAAGTCAAATGCAAAATTTTGGATGCCTTATTTAAAAACACCCCCTTTTCAATGAGGCCATCTGTACATGAAGTTGATTTAGAATGGCGTCACGGCCGAGGTGGTCATTTGATACTACAGGATGAGGATTTAACAACGAAAACTATTAACTGTTGGAAACGTTTGAATACATTAGCTCATTATGGTGTTAAAGAATCGGCTGTTATGAGTTTAGTTGCCAGACAAAATGATAGTTTTAATATCCCATATTCAAAACAGCAATCCCATCCATATAACAATTGTAAGTAATATTTAGCAAAAGCGATTTATTTTCATTAAAACTTTTCCATTATTTTACAATTAACTACTTTTAAATATTCATTCAAAAGAAAATCTTTTTAAATAATAGTGTTTCTGGTTGGTTGTATTTTAATATTTACGTCCTATTTAATTTTCTAAAACAAATTTAAAAACATTACTTATTAAAGTTATTAATGAATTAATCCCATTTGGAAACGCTCTCTTTATATTACAGCTTGAATTGATTTGTATAATATTATCAAAATATTACGTTAGATTTACAGTTCCAAACACTTTTATTTTATAAATTCATGTTATAATAAAATGGAATGCATTTTGTTGTGAACATTTCTTATTTCCTTTTCAGTTTTGAATTTGATGAAATTCGCCCAAAGATAAATCAAAGAAATTGCGATAACTGATGGGAAACGGCCAAAGTTTTTAACTTAAATCTTTTTTTGATAAAAAATTTAATTGTATTTTGGTAAATATTCATGAACTAATCATGAAAATAGGCCAAAGAAATTTTCCTTCCCTGGGTAGATCCATTTTTGAACATCATAAAGTTGTAAATCGTAAAAGGATATTGGAAAACAGCAATATATATTTTTGATCGTTTATAGCATTTTAAGTAATGTGACATTGATACTAACGCTACACGTCAAAAATTTTCCAGAAAAACATCAGCCCACCCCAAACCGGATGATAAGACGAACCTATAAGGCTGGTCCAAAGGAATCATCCACGGGCATCAAGCGGTAAATTTGAGAATATTTAGATATAACGTTATCTAAGCCAATTATTTCGCGATTTTTGTTGAAATCGCGACATCTTGGAAGAGAATCGCGAAAGAAACCTTTAGCAACTAAAGTTCAAAGAATTTGCCATTTCTCATTCGAATATCTGCCACACCTTTTATCATTTATTGTACCCTGTATATTGAGGTTTAATACGATTAATCTCTCTTTCAAAGCTCCGAAGTAAATATTTCCAGTGATTAACCGCCTAATTCTGATAAGATCAGGTCAATTCAACTCGATATTTCATATACAAGAGATATTGCAAATTCTTTTAATTTTAGTTGGAAAATGTTTTTTTGCGCGATTCTTTCACAAGATTCTATCAAACATAACTTTATATCCAATTTGTCTCATATTTACAGCTGGGTGCCCATGGATCATTTCTTTGGGCCATTTTTAGAGATTAGTTTATCATCCTATTTGGGGTGGGCTGATGTTTTTCTGGAAAATTTTTGACTTGAAGCGTTAGTATCAGTGACATACAGGCAAATCCCGGTATAACGAATCTCACTTTAACGAAAATCCGATATAACGAACAGCCAAATTTTTAACATTAACTACCTTATATAGCGAACGTTTAAGAAATTTTATACTCGATATAACGAATAAAAAGAAAAAATACCTAAAAAATCCAGCTTTTGATTTTATATTTATATTGTTAATATCAAAAACTTGATTGAGCAATTAGAATATAATGTAAAAATGAAAGAAATCGTCCATATTCCTAATTTTAGTTATACTACATATCTGACCTATCGATCAAAATTCCTTACATTATAATCTATAAAGCATAAATCTGTTAGATGTGAATTTAATGGTAAATTTAGCTTGAATAGTGTTTAAAAGTGATACATTGAAATAATAAAATTTTACAGCAAAATAAATTATTTCGATACCCCAATATGGCGCAATATTCCAGGGTTTTGAAATTATCAGCATGAGACTCAGTTATCGATTCTCAAGTTCAGTTTTTCCTCAAAAGAGTTTAATTCTATCTTCTAGATAATAAAATAAGGTTAAGGAAATAGCAGGAAATTAAAGTTGATAGAAAACTAAAATCCTTCACAAATTTTTCAATCCGTTCAGATGTTCAAAATGGAAAAACGTGTGCGTTGTTATTAGTTGTTTGAAATAAAATTTGAAGTAATAATTTCATACATTAATTTGAATGGTTTTTTGTCCATTAAATAAAGAAATTTACTAGAAAAAATAATTCCGATATAACGAATATTTCGATTTAACGAAAGGGCCTGACATTATATCATTCGTTATACCGGGATTTGCCTGTATTTCTTAATATGCTATAAACGATCACAAAAATATTTTTTTTGAACAATATGACTATCCTATATCCTTTTACGATTTACAAGCATTATAAAGTACAAAAAGGGATCTACCCAGGGAAGAAGTATTTCTTTGGCCTATTTTCATGATTAGTCCTAAAAATAATGATGTCAAATTTCTTATACATTAAATTAAAAATAATATTTACTAAAATACAGTTAATTTTTTTTATCAAAATTACAATTAACTTAAACATTTTTTTAATAAAAATGTCCGTTTCCAATTAGTTGTCGCAATTTCTTTGATGTATCTTTTGGGCGATTTTTACCAAATTAAAAATTGAAAAAGAATTAAGAATCTTCCACCAGAAAACGCATTCCACTTTATTATAACAACATAAATTTATAAAATACAAGTAATTGGAACTGAAAATCTAACGTAATATTTTGATAATTTTATACAAATCACGTCAAGCTATAATATAACGAGAGCGTTTCAAATTAGCTGACTACAGCTGTATATGGGAAATTTCAAGTGAAATGACCAATGGCTGGGAAACCGATGTCTTCCGATCGAAATTTTATAGGGCAGGATATTAGTTTAGACAAAAATTTTCAACATGAACTCTCTGAAGTACAATATGTTTAGTTTGCCAGAAAGTTCACTTTTTTGTTTTAATGCACTATTTTTAACAGTTATTTACTTGTAAACTATTTTTTAATTGATTTTCGGAAAATAACTGTTTAAATTCGGATTTTTCATTTGAAATTCGGCAAATAATAATGTATGTTAAGGTTTAATTCGTTTGAAATTCTAATTCAATTATGTAGAAAATTATATTTTTCATTTCTAATTCAAAAAAGAAAAATGGAGTTGAGATTTTGTATTTCAATTTCGGAAAATAATGTTACGATTAATTTAAAAATGTAACCGTTCTATTCAGAGTTTCATATAAAAAATTTGATTTTCACTTGTTCTTTTCAGAATTTCCAACAAAAAATCTCATTTCCAATTGATTTTTTTAATATAAAATTCAGTTGTTCCTAATTCCGAAAATAGAAAATATCAATTTCAATTGGATTTTTTTAATGAAAATTATCAGTTTTAATTAAGCTTTTTGTATGCAAAATTTTAATTTAAATTGAACTTTTCTGAATTCCTCAACATTGTTGTCTATTTTAACGGTACAATATATCCTCTTCGGAGGTATTAATACACAAAGCATAATTTAATATTAAATAAATAATTTTGAAACATGTAAAAGAAATAGAATTTTTCTCCAAACTGTTAGTAACAATAAAAAATATATCTTTTCATGAATAAATTTAAAAGGTATTAAACTAATGTCGAAATGTGAAAAAAAGCTTATAAAAAATAATATTTTGTTAATTTTTGTTTTCCAAAAAAAGCTTTAAGTTTATAGACTTGCGTTGTTCACTCTTTAAAATAACAAATTTAAGGTGTTCGTATTATCCAGGAGTTTATAATATCGAGTGTTTCCTCACGACTTTTTTTAAATTCTTCAAATTATAGTTTCTTAAAATTTCGACAAAATCTTATCTTCTAAAGAAAATTAAAGAAATTTAGCTTTATAATATTATATATTTAAGTTTGTCATTCCCTGTGTAACTCCAAGAAAAATTCATTTAAGACCCAACAAAGTATATATATTCTGGTCCTTATGAAATTCTGAGTCGATTTAGCTATGTCCGTCTGTCTGATTAAAACACGCTCACGTTAAAACTAAGCAAAAGAAATTAACCAAATTCACTAAAAATATTAATTGTTATCCTAAGCACTTTGGTATTGAAAATCAGCAAAATCGGTTCACGACATAAAAAGTTATGAGTAAAAATTTCAGACTCCCTCGAAATAAATTATATATAATAATTAAATAAATTATATATTATAATTAATTATAAACATAAATCAAATTATCGACGTAGATCTGTATCGGCCCACAATTGGTCATAGCTGCCATATAAGGTCCACTTTCAAAAAGCTATCGAGACAAAATTCGACATGAATATGTTTTGTGTATCCAGCAAAAATAAAACGAAGTACTTCCAAAAGAATAACATTTATCACCACTTCAAAAGTAGCACTAAGTGAATTTTTTTACCTTCTGTGGAAGAGATGTTTAATGGCTTCCGAAGAAGCAAAAATAATTATATCGCCCATTTATTTAAGTATGTGATGGAGTTCGCGCGTTTGTTTGCCTTTAGTAATTTTTCTAAGTCATTTTCGAAACAAAGAAAAAAGAAAATTGTCAATACAAACGTAAACAATCGAAAAAATTATGAGAAAAATCCAAAAAATAATAAAGCATATGTTTTGTGCCACAAAATAAAAAGGAAAATAATAAATACAAAAGAGAACAATCGAAAAAATTTTGCAAAATTAAAGACTTTTTTTAAATTGTTATTTTTAAATAAAATTATTAAAAATCGTTATTAGTTTTCATCAATACTAGAAGAAAACATGTCTGATTTAATTTTCAATCATTTGATTAGCTTTTAAAATCGAAGATTAAGCAAAATTCTTTAGTTCACTTTAGTAAATGTTTGTGATTTGAAATAGTCAAACTTCTTGCGATTGTGATCTATAGCACACCTATTTTGCGATTTGATTTCACAATCGCCAATGTTAGGCGATATGCGGTTGTCATCACATGGGCGATTATTCAATACTAAAGATATATTTTTTTGTTCTTCCATTTAATTAGTTAAAAAAAATTTATTTTTGTGCTATTGTGTTAAATGTGTCTATTTCCCTATATTATTTAAGTCGAATTAATTGTATTCTATAATCCAACAATTTTACTTCCAAATAACTTCCAAAAAAAAGAACATAAAAATTACTTCTTGAGAATTACTTCAGAAGTAGGGAATTTGGAATCAAATAAAAAGGACATCCC